AAGCATCAAATGAGAAAATGTTTTCTTTTTTAGACTTATTTTTCCCATATATCAGTATCATTCTCTGCTTATTTATACCATTCATTTTTAATTTCTTATACAAAGAATATAATATATTTGTGGAAGAATTGATTTTTCAAAATAAATTTAAAAGTTGGTATACAAAAAAAAGATCTTATTTATATAAAGATATTATTTATTAAGTTATAATTAATTGAAAGAATTATTAAGAGTATTATAAATCGATCCTTCGAAGATATTTCACGAATATATTAATATATTCCATATATTTGAAATTAAAGACACAAAAATAAAATTGATACTAGATTCTTATTGAAAAATTCACTTCTTTGAGAAGCATGTAAAATAAATATATATTGATCCAATAGAGAAAGAACGATATTCGTTTCAAAAATATTATATATATTTGTTCGATTGACGTCAGTTAATAAACATGGTAGATTTATTTGAAATAGATATATAAAAATAACATTGCGATATCAAGTTTTCATTGAAAAATTAAATTCTTTAAGATTGATATACATTGAGAAATCCAATAGGGAAAAATATGATATTCAAAAAATTGCATATACCATACTTGTTCGATTGACGTCAGTTAACAAATATAGTGAATAGAGATAGCGGTACGGAAGCAAGGCTAAGGGCTTTACCACCGATCCGACCATGTTTTATACATCATCGCCCGTAGATAATCCTGTGATTCCGACAACCTACATTATAGCGGCACGTTTATTAACTGGTACGCGGGAGCAGCTTGGTAATGACGCATTGAATATGAAGCTATTTTCATCTGACCGCCGCTTTCTGAATAAAAAACACACTGGTTAAAATCTTACTAGAATTACGTTATATGTAATACGTATAATAGAACGAATGCAGAAATCATTGATGATAATAATAATAATTTAATAATAATTTAATAATATATAATATTTGAACATTTTTTTTATTTTCTAGTGAATTTTCTATTTTTAACGAAATTTTGCAACTACAATGTGTTGCTCGAGGAATTCGTTTTATTAGAATATTATCAAAATTTTAAAAAGATAAAATTAAAAATTCAAGTTCAAATTTTTAATACACTTTTTGTAATTTCATGATGATGCAAAACAGAGTAAAATTATAAAATATTCAGAATTTAATATTTTATCAAAAATTTCAAAATGAGAAAAGATATTGAAGATTTGGAACTGAATTTATTCTATTACAAAAATTTCTCATACAAATCCATATTTAGAATTGTTTTATATACTGTATATATATATATATAAACTTTTATCAAAATTAAATTATCTGTAAAATAACTTTTAATATAATAATAATAAGTTTAAATAACTTTTGACATGCAGTATATGATATAAATATATGATATACATGCATACAGAATGATATACAGTCTTCTAAATAATAACTAATAAATTAAATTAATATTTGTTGAAAAAATATTTTGTATAAATGTTACATAAAATAGAAGTAGATATAATTTAATATTGTAATTTAATATTATTAATTTTTTTCAAATAGATATATAAAGAATATATATTTTTTAAAAGTCAATATTTTTTTCAAAAAAATATTTGCACATAAATGATATGATACTGTTACAAATTCGCAATAATAATTCGATACTATTATATTACTTATTTTCAAGATTGTACAGTCATATACGTTGTATTATTAAAAACATTCTTTTATACACAAAGATTGTCACATAACCTGCCGAATCGCACGATATCACTGCAATGAAATCAGTATCGTGTAGCTCATTTATATTGAGTTTTAAATTCAATATCATTCGAACAATAATAGACTGATATATGATTCAGGAAAATTTTTTTATGACAAATTGAAATTTAATAATCTAATCTGATACTTTATTAGAAGAAAAGTTTTGAAAAATTCTATTATTAATTAATTTTAAAAAACAATGATGAATCAATATTTACTTATATGATTATCCATGATTATTAAAATAAGATACTATTCTTCTATAATTTAGATTTCAACTTTATCACTATTTTTATGTATAGTTATATGATGATTTTTAAAGCGTGAGATATTATTCTGATTCTTATTTAAAAGTTTTGCATCGTTTTTAAAATCATACCTTTATTATAATTTATTAAAATCAATTTATTAATTCTTATTTCAGAGACAAATAAGAGATTAACTGGCGATAAACCTCGTAAAGAAAGAACTGCATTTACGAAACACCAAGTTCGACACCTTGAATACGAGTTTGCGCATAGTAATTATCTTACACGTTTACGTCGCTATGAAATAGCAGTTGCTCTAGATTTAACAGAACGTCAGGTAAATTTCTAATTAATTAATTCACTTTAATAATCTAATATTTTTAAAATGATATGAGATATCTTCAACTCATTATTAATAGAAATTGTGATTTTGAATGTATATATTTATTAAAAATTTAAAAATCTGTATTATTAATATGCGTGTACATTGATTATAAAATAAATGCACAGATTCATAAATTACAATACACTATCTTGTAAAAAATTTTTGAGAATAGAAAAATTTCACATGCACTTTTCGAATTATATTTTTTTAATATAAAATTAAAATTTTTTACAAAAAATAAAAATTCTTATTCGAATTTATAATTTTGTTTATGAAGATATAATAATTTATTGGAAGGAACTAATTCTCAAAATATCGTGAACATAGACAAAATTTTTTTTTCTAAATCTTATAATTTTATGGGTTTATAATTAAAATAATATAATTTGAAGGAAAATTAGCATAAATATTGTAAAAATTTTTTAGAACTTGATATGTTTTTATGTATTTTTATATTATCACAAGAACTAAATTTAATCATTTCTTAAAAATTTCATATACTACTTATTTACTTTATATTTATTCCGTTATTTTTTATTA